CAGCGCCGCTCCCTCCCCCCCGGGCCTGGCGCGCGCTCCGCGGCCGCCTCCTCCCGCCGGCCCGCCCTGCGTCCTCCTCCTCCCGCGCTCCTCGCTGCTCTGCGCCACCGTCTCTCCGGCGGCCCTGCCCCGGTTCCGTGTGGTGCTGCTGGTCGCCGAGCCCTGCCCCGGGCCGCGGCCCTCCTCGCCTCCCCCCGGCGGTGGGCGCCCAGCTGGGCGGGGGGCGAGCTTAGGGTGTCAGTGCTTCGCTCTCCTGGTGACAGCCGGCAGCGCAGCCTGCAGCAGGCCGCCTGGCCACCTCGCTGGCTGCAGGCAGGCGCTGGGGGCTGGGCCTTCGTCTGCGGGGCTGCAGCAGCGTGGGTGGGGGCTCTGGCTTCAGACCCACCTGCAGCTGGCAGTGGGGGGTGGATGGCTTTGTGTTGGACGCCACGTCTGGGCGGGAGGCTCTACAGGGGCCGGAGGACTGACTGGGGGCTCCCTGCCATCTGCCTCAGCACCTATGGAGGAGTTATGCCAGGAGGTTGGCTCTGGTGCCTGTCTCTCAGGCTGAATCCTGAAGGTGGGTGGGGGCCCAGGGTGAGGGGTTCTCTGGCCAGCTGGAGTGGCCTCTTCTCCTGTTGGGGGGCTTTTCATGTTTCCCCATGAGCTGGCCTGGGCGTGTGGTCACTCACAGGTGGGCGGGGCTGGTGTTGGCCTCGGCCCTGCCCATCCCCAGGGGAGCTGGGACCTGGTGAAGCCCCTGCTAGCTGAGCAGTCCTGTGGCCACTGCAGGGCCAGGGCCAGGGCCTCTCTCTGCTAGGGGAGGGGCAGGTGTGACCTTGCATTCGTGTCTGTGAGCGCATGCACTTCCGGGAGGCGTGTGCCTGGGACTGCGTCCCTGAGGCTTCTGCTCGTGGTGCTGGCACCTCCGGTCTGCTGGCTGTACCCCAGATCCTGGGAAGCCTGCCCCTCCTCCTCGCCCACCTCCATCCCACCCCAGAGTGTCCCAGACTAGCTGCTTCTCCCCACTCCTTGCCCCCACACTGCAGCCCTCTGGTGGGTCTGGACCAGCCTAGACTCCAGGCCCTCTCTGCAGGCCGCCACCTGTGCAGTCCTGCTAGGCTCTGCGCCAGGAGGGCCTATCCCTGGTGAGGGCTCCGTTTGGAAGTCCTTGATGGCCTCTGAATGAGAGGTGCTACATTCCTTGTTGCAGTGGACCTGTGGGTCACATGTGAGCCCTGAAGTCTCCAGTGACCTCCACCCACTCTAGGGCAAGTCACGGGATGCCTGGAGTGCAGCCCCAGGTGTCTCTTGGCTCACTCGCCCCTCCCTGGCACCCAGCACAGTCTGTCCTGTTTGCGTGTTGTGGTCACAGCTCTGCCCCCAGACCCCTTCCCCAGGTCCTACCAGCTCAGCTCTCAGTACCAGGGGTCGGGCTGGGAGAAGCAGAGCCTTGGGGTTCAGGGATGGTTTCCTAGACGTAGTGTACTTTAGGATGGCCACATGGGTCCACACACAGGTCAGCTGTAGCCGGTATTTCCCAAGCTGCGGTCATGCTGCAGCTCAGCACCTCAAAGAGAAAGAACAGACGTGAGGGTGGCGAGGCTGCAGGGGCTCCCTAGGCAGAGTGGGCAGCAGGTCAGCCAGCACAGAGGCCTGGCCGTGGGACGGGGGCTGCTGTGGCTGCCGTCAGTGTCTCTGGGAGCCCTGGGGGGCAGGGCCCATGCTGGCCCCAGTCTGATGCCACCCCCCTCCCTGCAGGACGGGCCTCTCAACAGCAAGATGAGTGTCACCTCCTGGTTCCTGGTGAGCGGCAGTGGCACCCGCCACCGCCTGCCGCGGGAGCTCATCTTCGTGGGGCGTGATGAGTGCGAGCTCGTGCTTCAGGTGAGGCACCTGGTGGGGGGGCTCCTGGGCCAGGAGGCACCGGCACTCTCTGTCTTCCTGGGTGTTGGGGAGAGACCCAGCGGTGGGTGGGGGTTTCCCAGCCCTGCAGTCTTCCCTGTGCAGCATCCAGGCACTTGTCCTGCTGGGGGAGAGCTGGCAGAGGCCTTCCTGAGCCTCTATTGGGGGTAGAGTTGGCCTGAGTGACCCCAGTGTTGTGTGGGAGCCGAGTGAGGGTGGCATAGCAGGGAGAGCTGCAGGCAGGAAGGTGCCAGGCAGGGGGGCAGCAGGCACAGGGTCCGGAGGCAGGAGGGCCCGTGAGGCCTGACGTGGTGAGAGAAGGCAGGGAAGGAATGAGTCAGGCTGAGGCAGGTGTGGGCCCCGGCGGCAAGAATCTGGGGTCATCTATGGCAGGTGTAGGTCCTTGCCAAGGAGCGATGGTGACATTTGTTCTGGAAGGATCCTGCCTGCTCCACGGGTGCAGGGGTCCCTCAGGAGGCTGTGGGGACATTGGCTTGGTGAGCACACGGCCAGGAGAGCCATGTTCAGAGGCCAAACTGCGCCGTGTGCCATCCTGACCATGCGCCGGAGCCCCAGCTATTGGCTCTCCAGTGTCCAGGGCGCCGGGCAGGCCCAGCACAGAGCTGGCGTCCCTGAGGACGCGCTAAATGATGCAACGTGAGCAGGGTGATGGACTCATGCTGCCTGCTACCAGAGTCTACTCTCCTGCCATGGCTCCTCCTCCCTGGTAGGGACCAGCCACTGGCCAGAGAGCACCAGGGGGCCGCACAGGGCAAGCTGTGTATACACGTGTGAGTATGTACACATGAACACATGTGTATGAATACATGTGCAGTGTGGCCATGTGTGTACACTACAACCGTATGTGTGTGTGTGTATAGTATAGCCATGTGTGTAACACATGGTGCATGTATTGTTGGGTGTATTGTGAATGAGCATGTGTTCATGACTGTGCAGTCATGGGTGTGTGAGAACATGTGTCTGTGTGTGCATGTGTGAGTGCCTGTGTGGGGAAGGGTATGTATGCGTGTGTGTGAATACACATGGGTTCTGGTTCCCTAGTGCCTCTCTGACAAGAATATAGCACAAATGGGGTGGTTTGAAAAAGCAGGAGTTTATTCCCTTACATTTTGGAGGCTTTAAGTCCAACTTCAAAGTGCCAGGCTCTAGAAGCTGGGTGAAAGCCCCTCAACCTTGGGCTCCAGCTCTGCCTCTTGCTCCCAGCCCACTGGAGCTGGAGGCGTTTCTTCACTCAGGCAGCTGCTGGCTGCTGAGGCTGACAAGCCCAAGGTCAACAAGTAAAAAGCCATGGTCCCTGTGTTACCAACCACATGGCAGGCCATTCATTCAAGTCCATTGAAAGTCCCAAGGTTGGCAGAGCATGGCAGGCCGCTGAGCAACAACATGGCTACATGCAGGGTCCAAGCATGCCATAGGCTGGAGACCATTCCCCAAGGCTTCTCCTTATGTACAGGAAGCAGAGCACATCCCTGTGGCAGCTACTCAGCTGCTCACAGTCGATTCCACCATAGAGTTGATGACCACTCTCATCATGGGGAGTACTACATCCAGCTGCCCAGCCACTCAACCAGGCCCAGCCAAGTTGACACACAAACTGAACTACCACAACGTGTATGTACTAATGAGTGTGCTCGCATATGTGTGTATGCGTGTGCCTGTGTGGGATCGTGTGGGGAATGTGTGAACAGGTATAAATGTACAAATGGGTGGGCTTACGTATGTGTGGACTTGCATGTACACATGCATATGAGCACATCTGTGCATGCATATGTGTGTGTTCATGGGGAGGTGTGGCATGTGTGTTGCACGTCTGAGAGGCTGTCCTGCTCTTTGGCCTGAGTGCAGCCTGGATGTCCCACACTCCCTGGTGACCTAGGATGGCAACCTGGAGCACCTGGGCCCTGCACACGCAACCCACGGGGCCCGTGTGCCTCGGACCCAGGTGGTCTCATGCTGGGGATGAATTGGCAGGAGATGGCTTCCTGGTGCCCGGATGCCACAGGGACGGGCGAGGCCCGGGCAGAGGTGCTCCTCGGGGTGGAGGTGGGTTTGGACGTAGCTTCCCCAGGTTCTGCACTTAGTGCAGGTCAGCAGTCGTGTGTCCCCAGCTTCCTAACACTGCCTGGTTTGCTCTCTCATCTGCTTCGCTTTAGAGAGCTGCTTTTCATGGAGCGTGGTTTGTTTTAGTCTTGAACCCTGGCCTGTGGGGGCCCCTCTGCCTTCATGGGTGGGCTGTATTCCACCCCAGCACATGGGCTCAGGCAGGTGGGGGTCTGGGGCTGCAGCTCCCCCCTGCTGTCTCTGGGAGCCCCAGCTCCCTGCAGCCTGGGGCGGCCCTTGGCAGACGCTGTGTCTGGGAACAGCCCTGGCACAGGGTGGCCTGGGTGCCGGGTGCTGGGTGCTAGTGGGGAGGGTGGGGCTGTGCTGCATCAGAGGAGCTGAGGCCTGGTGGGGGGGCGGGGGGCGGGGGGAGAGAGAGGTGGTCAACGTGATGGGCGGGACAGGACGGGGGCTGTGGAGACGGGGGCTCCAGACAGACCAAGGGGTACTGGGGGACGCTGGTGCCTGGGGCAGGGGAGGCCCTGTGGCTGGAGCAGCTGGGCGCTTGGCTGGGGGGCACTCCGGGGGGCAGGCAGGGAGGAAGATTGGCTTGACACGCTGGCTGAACGCGCTCGCGAGGAGTCCAGGGAGGAGTGCAGGGGGTGGCCGGCAGACCAAGGGCTCTGAAGCTGGGCGTGTCTGGGCTGGAAGCCCCTCCAGGGGCTTGCTTCTGGATAGAGAGGGTGCAGAGCGGGACACCCCATCCTACTGTACCCGTCCTCACTCTCTGGGTGGGACAGGAGGCACTAGCCCTGTGCAGGAGGCACAGAGCCGGTCCTGGGTCAAGGCCTGGCTGCCTGAGACAGCGGCCCCCTGACCCCACCCCATCTCATCCTGGTCCGGGCCACCTGCTAGCCTCCCTCTGCAGCCCCACAACATCTGGTGGGCCCTGGGAGGTGTTGGGCCTAGGAGGAGTGGGAATGCATGGGTGGGAGGGGGCAGCTGGCTGTTCTCCCCTGGGAGTCCAAGGTCACCCAGGGCCCAGATTATTGCGGACATGGGAGGGCTCTGGGAGGGCAGGACAGGAGGCTGGTGATACTTGTCTGGTAGGGGAGCCCAGGCCGTGGGGCAGTTCTCGGGCTCTGCAAGAGGGTGGTGCTAGGGCACATGGGGTACACACGGTAGGAGCGTGTGAGGCACTGTGTGCAAGGGCATGGCCCGAGTCGGGCCAGGACTCGGGCTGTGTGTGGGGTGGGACTGCCTCCCTGGTGCCACCCCCAGCCCCTGACTCCCTCCGGGCTTTGTCCTTGGTCAGGAGCAGTATGTCCCAGATGACAGAAGTGACTGTCCCCTTCTGTGCTGCCCTGGAGCAGTTGCCTGGGACAGGAGGAGGGGCACCTGCAAAGGGAGGGGGTGGGGGCGGGGGCAGCAGGGGGGCTGGGAGGTGCGTCCCTATGGCCTGCTCTGGTGGGGGATGGCAGGCCAGGCCAGGGCTGGGTAGCTTTCTGGGGGGCACACACTGAAGGTGTGAGGGACCCCTGGGGCCTCACTCCCAGGCTTGAAGGCCTCAGGGGCTGGTGGTGTTGGTATATGGGGAGCTGAGGATATGGGGGGCCTCGCAGGGATAGGGCATTGAGGGCCATCCTGTGTCCCCCTAGTCCCGCAGTGTGGACAAGCAGCATGCTGTCATCAATTATGACCAGGACAGGGACGAACACTGGCTGAAGGACCTAGGCAGCCTCAACGGGGTGAGTGTGGGCCCCGCCCCACCCCCAGCCCCACCCCTCCTGGGCCTACCCAGGACCCCTGCTCCCTGGGTGGGGAAGGGTTCTCCTTCAGGTGCAGAGGCCTGAGGGTTCCTGGGTAGAGATGCGAGCCTTCTCCTGCCTCCTGCCCCTGGCCCTCCCTGACCCCTCACTGTCCCTCTCTGGCCACTGTCCCTCCTGATCCCGCTCCCATTGCCTCCCTTCCGTGACCCATCCTGCTCCCTGCCTCACTGTCCCACTCCCTTCTCCCCTCCTGCCCCCCCAACTCTCTTCCCTGCCCCCTCCCCCTCACTGTCCCCCTCTCACCACCCTCCTCTTATGACCCCTCCTGCTCCCCCTCCCACCACTCCCTCCCCTCTCGCCACCCTCCTCCTCACTGGAGGGGGCAGTGGAGGGAAGGGTGGGAGGGGGACCAGGAGGGGTCATAAGAGAAGGGTGCCCCCTCCCCCTCACTGTTCCCCTCTCGCTGGGGTAGGGGTGCTATAAGCAGCCTGAGGCTGCCCCACTTCTATCAGTCATCACCCACTAGGCACCCTTGCACACCCCTCCTAGGTGGGCCCCCCCATCAGGCAGCTCTGCCCATGTGGCTGCCCCAGGCTCCACAAGGGCCCTGGAGCTGCTGGCCCCGGTTCGAGGTACGGCCTGGGTAGCGTTCCTGGGCCTCCTGGAAGGCCTGAGCTGCCTAGGGAGCCCTGGCCAGCTGCCCACCTGGCACTCAGCCCTGGGTCCAGCTGGCAGGGCCTTCTGCAGAGCTCACTGCTGTCCCCATGCCAGGCCTAGGTGTGGCCGCCCTGTGCCCGCAACTCAGAGCCCTGGCCCCTCCTCCACACACCACGTGTCTACCTCTAGGCCCCACACTGCCACACCCCCACTTCTCCCCGGGGAGATGCCCCCCCATCCTGAGAAACTTCTCTTGCGTTTGTCTTATCTCTTCCACCCCGTGGGGCACAGAAGTGTCTGTGTCACATGTCTTCCCTCTGCTACCTAGCTGCCCCAGAGGGCCTCGGAGTGAGTTGGGGTCTGTCACTGCCTGGGTGTACCAGGGCAGCCAGGTGGGCTGGCAGGTCACAGCCCCGATAGAGGGGAGCTTCCAGGGGGCACACAGAAACCATGGGAGCCTGGATGGGGCCGGGGCGGGTTCTGCGTGGCTGGGCGTCTTGGAGGGCTGCACTTCACAGTGTCCAGATGGCGCTGTGCTCGGGCACATGGGGTCATGCTTGGCTCTCCTTGGCTGGCGTCCAGCCTTTGACTTAGTGTGTGGCTGGGCACCTGAGTTGAGTGGGTGGTGCCAGGGGCTTGGGGCCAGTGTCACAATGGTGCCTCTGCAAGAGAGAGCCACACGGGTGGTTATGTGTCTCTGGCCCATGCCCACTCCCCTACCCGCCTCCCCTCCACAGACCTTTGTGAATGACGTGCGTGTCCCGGACCAGAAGTACGTCACGTTGAAGGCCAACGACGTCATCCGCTTTGGCTACGATATCCTTCCGGCTTGGCCACCTGGAAGGGGACAGACTACAGGGTGCCCCAGGGACCCCAGCCACTGCAGCCTGCCCAACCCAGGCCACGTCCTCTGGCCCGAGGTCACACAGGGCTGGAGCAGCGTGAGCGCACCCTGGAACCCTTCACAACATGATGCTCTAGGTCTGGTCCCTGGGTGGCGGCCTTGCCCCTGGAGGGGGCCGCACCTGCCTTCCTGGGCACTGTGTTGGCCCAGCTGTGGTGGGGTGGGTCCAGCTACTGCCGAGGACCACCGTCCTGGGGAGGGCCTGGGAATGAGGAACTAGGGGCTCAGTCAGGGCTCTGCTCATGGGCACCCTGTCCATCCGCCACGGCCCCCTCTGTGAATGCGCTGGTGTGTGGATGCAGCCAGGGCCCAGCCCCTGAGTGGCTCTGCCCCGAGTGGCTCTGCCCCTGGCCACTGCTCCTCCACGTGGGTGGCAGCCGGCTTGCTGGCTGCTCTGTGGGGTGGATGCTGCCCAGGGGCAGTGGCGGGGCCTGGCGGTGGGTGGGGGCAGTGTGGTGGGATGTGGGCGTGCCAGCAGGTATCCACAACAGAGGGGGGTGGGCAGACAGTTCCTCATGGCCCTTTCACCTGCCTGGGCCGTCTCTGTCCAGTGTTCTTGCTCTGTGTCCTTAACACATGGCCAAATGCCAACACGTATGTGCTGGAGCGTGTGCAGCACCGCCTCCCCGAGGAGGCACTCAAGGTCAGTGCCACGCATGGGCTGTGAGCCCCACACCTTGCAGCTTCCACCCCTACCCCACGGTCCCCACCCCCAGCAGGCCTCACAGCCGTGATGCCTACAGTCCCCACGCCCCACTGCCCTGCGCTGCCCCACCCCTCCCTGCACACACACCAGGCTGCTTGGGCCACCTGCCCTGGCCAGCTCAGCTGGACAGCCTTGTCCGGCAAGTAGAAGGGTGATTATTACCCCTGGGGCTGATGCAGTGGCTGGTGGGGGGATGTTGGGATGGGCCGAAGGAAGGTCCTAGGGTGGAGCTGGGCCCTGACATGGCAGTAGGGGCCTGGCCGGCCTTGGGCCCTGTGGCATGTGGTTAGAGCAGAGAGGTGAGGGGGCTGCAGGCAGCCAGGATGGATGGATGGGAAGTGAGAGCCCACTGGGAGCCAGGTGTCCCACCTGTGGGGTCAGAGGTGGGCTAGAGCCAGACACCCTGTAGCCTCTGGGCCCAGCCAGTACTTTGGGTACCAGGGTTGGGGGAGGAGCTTGATCAGGCTACGACTGGCCCAGGAGCAGGGCAGGAGCAGACCTTGGGGAACCCTGGAGCCCCAAGTCAGGTGTCGGGGTAGATTGCGCCGTGGCAGGTGGGGGTTCTGCTCTGTGCCCCACTCACAGAGCACAGCCCCCCTGGGGTCACAGAGTTTTACCTACAGCCCCACATGGGACAGCAGTTCAGAGCCTGTTTCCCAATGGCCTTTGGGCAGCACAGGCTAAGGGTGGCCTGGCCAGAGCCCCAGCCCACCATGGGCAGAGCCAGGGTTGGAGACCCTGAGCATGAGGCTGTCTTACTTGGCTGATGAGGCCCAAAGCCCAGAGCCTACCACTGATGCTGTGCACACAGATACACACACATTTATACATGCATACGCACACATTCATGGGCATGTGCATGTATACGCATGCATAGCATATGCACAGATGCATGCGTACATACATGCACACACAAAGACACACAAATGCATATGCATACATGTACACATGTATATGCATGTGAATACATGCACACACAGCACACATTTGTGGACACATTGTGCATCTATAAGCATACATGTGAAGTATATGTACACATGCGTGCACACACTGTACACATACATACACACAAATGTGTACATATCTGTAAGCAACATAAACATGAATATATATATATACACACATATGTGTGGGAGCTCTGGTAGCATAGTGGTTAAGACACTTGCCTGCTAACCAGACGGCTGGTGGTTCAAACCCACCAGCCACTCCTCGGAAGGAAGGTTGGGCAATCCTACTTCCGTAGTGATAACTGCCTCGGAAACCCAAGGAGGGGTCGCTATGAGTCGGGGCCGACTCGACGGCACATAACAACAACAACAACAACAACAACAACATGTGTACATGGGTATATGTGTATGTACATGCCCCCTATAAGCACACAGCACATACGTGTGCACATTCACGTACATGCATACACACAGTGCACATGTGTACATATGCCTGCACACATACATATATGTACACATACAAGCATCCACATACAGGCACATACATATACATGTCTAGACACACATACACATCCCTGTGCTCCAGATAGGCCACTACTCTGGGGTCCTCGTTCCCAGCCCTCCCCAGCTAGGCTGAGCTGGTGCACTGGGGGATTCCTGGCCTCCCCCCCGCCATGGCAGCTGGGCTGCCCTCGCCTGTGATGTTTGCTGCCCACCCCACCTGGCCCCCCAGACAAGCCTAAGCTCCTTGGGTCCAAGGACCCAACCTGGTGCTGGGTGTGGAGCCCGAGCCGCGTGACTGAGAAGGTCCCTGGACCTCTATGATTGTCAGTCTGCACTGCGTGATTGTGAGAGCCAGTGGCCAAGTGGGGCAGAGGCTGGCCTGCCCTTCAGCGCCCTCCCCCTGCCTGCCACAGCACGAGAAGTACACCAGCCAGCTGCAGATGGGCATCAAGAGTGCAGCACCCAAGAGGACTGAGCCACTGCCAGACCCCATGCCGTACTGCGAGTCCTCGAACCCCAGGCCAGAGAAGGGGGACCGGAGGCTGGGGGCAGGTAGGACGGTGTTCCCATTGGGTCAGGTGCCGAGCAGGTGTGCAGGCAGGGCCAGTTCCAGGTGGGAGGGGCCGTGCTGAGGGCCAGCCACTCCCACGGGATGGAGCTAGTGAGTTTCTGTTGGCCCTGAAAGCCAGGTTTATGGGAGGTCTCTCGCAAACTAAGTTCTAGCTGTTGGTTCAAAGGGTACAGCAGACAGACAGCAATACCGAGTGGGCCAGACAGTGTCAGGGGCACCGTGGTCTGGGGTCACCATTGGTAGGCTTAACTGCTGACAGAGCCGTGGAGGGGTCACCCCCAGGTGGCCTCTACAGGGCCCAGAGGCCCTTGGGAGACTCCCCATTGGGCTCCCTCCCTCTGCAGGCAGCACCCCACAGAGGCAGAGACAAAACTCAGAGCAGCAGTAGCTGGCTAGGGTCCCCGGGCAGCTGAGGGTCTAAACTGGGGGTTAACACCAGAGCTGCCCCCAGTCTCCTGTCCACGCTGGGACCGTGATGACTCCAGTTCTGCCCTTTCTTCCTTGTAGAGGCAGTGACCTACCGCACGCCCCTTTACGGGCAGCCCTCCTGGTGGGGGGATGACGATGGCGATAGCCCACCTGAGGACCGGCGCCAGGGAGAGCCTGAGCCTGGTGGGTCCTGGAGGCCATGGCCCAGAGCTCTGCGGTTGCTGGGGGAGTGGGGCTAGGACTCCTCCCTTCTGCAGCTCCGATGGGCAGCGGGTGGGGGGTGGGCAGCGTGGAGGGGGCGGGGGCTGCCAAGGGTCAGCCTGAGTATACCCCCCCACCCCCAGAGCGAGCCAGGGGCCCGGCCCAGCACGACAGAGAGCTCGACGGGACACCTGCTGGTTTCCGGGCCCCTGTCGAGCCACAGGGCTATGCCTTCCGCCGTGAACCCAGCTACTTCGAGATCCCCACAAAGGAGTCGCTGCCGCTGGCTGCGCGGTCCCCTGAGGTGCCGGCACACGAGGCCCCCACCAAGGACCAGGAGCCGGCTGGCGGTGGGGCGGCCCCAGTGGTGCAGAGCCATGCCTCTTTCACCATTGAGTTTGATGACTGCAGCCCTGGCAAGGTGAAGATCAAGGACCACGTGACCAAGTTCGCCCTGCGACAGCGGCGGCCCCCAGGCAGGGAGGCAACGCCTGCTGAGATGGTGTCCGCGGAGACCAAGGTGGCTGACTGGCTGGTGCAGAACGACCCCAGCCTGCTGCGCCGGGCCGGCCTGGGGGATGACCGCCACAGCACCAAGAGTGACCTGCCCATCCACACCCGCACGCTGAGGGGTGAGTTGTGCACACCCCTCCCACCCATGCCTTAGCTGAGCACATGTCTATGCTCCCAGCCTGAGGCTGCATGCCTGCCCACACCCACATGCACACCTGTGCCTCGAGGGGCGAGGGCTGCCCAACAGGCAGTTCTGGCCCCAGGTTTGCAAACTCCTATCTGCTTGTACTGGCACCTGGCTGGTGTCTGTGCTTGACTCGGAGGCCAGGTATGTGGCCGTGCCAAGGGCTCACTGATGCTGGTGGTTCACTTAACTGTCCAAGAACCACCTGCTGGCTGGAGGCCACCCCACGTCTCCCTGTTTAGTGTGCTGGGTTCCCTGTTCCATGGGGTGCAGTGTCACCAAGCCCCTGTGATGACCCTGTGTGTGTGCGTGTGTGCGCACGCTGGACGCCTGAGCCTGTGTAATGGCTGGCTGGGTGTGCTGGAGGCCTGGGCCCGTGTGATGACTGTGTGTGTGTTGGGGGGAGCTGGAGCCCCAGGCAAGCGTCATGACTGTGTGTGTGTATGTGTGCGCGCTAGAGGCCCAGTCTCGTGTGATGACTGTGTGTGTGCACTTGCACATTGGAGGCCTGGGCCTGTGTGATGACTCTGTGTGTGTGTGTGGGGGGAGCTAGAGGCCCAGGCCTCCATGATGGTCCTGTGTGTGTGTGTGTGTGCACAGGTGAGTGTGTGTGCTGGAGGCCTGGGCCCATGTGATGACTGTGTGTGTATGTGTGTGTTAGCTGGGGGCCCAGGCCTGTGCGATGACTGTGTATATGGTGTATGTGTGTGTGGGGGGGGAGCTGGAGGCCCAGGCCCGTGTGATGGCCCTGTGTGTGTGTGCACACATGAGGGTGTGTGCTGCAGGCCTGGGTCTGTGTGGTGACTGTGTGTGTGTTTGTGTGGGAGCTGGAAGCCAGGGCCTGTGTGATGACTGTGTGTATGACTGTGCACACAGCTGTGTAAGTTGGAGGCCCAGGCCTGTGTGATGATTGTGTGTGTGTGTGTGTGTGTGTCAGGGGAGTTGGAGGCCCAGGCCTGTGTGATGGCCCTGTGTGTGTGCACACGTGTGTCTGTGCACACGTGTGTGTGGAGGCCTGGGCCTGTGTGATGACTGTGTGTGGTGGGGGAGCTGGAGGCCCAGGCCTGCATGATGACTGTGTGTGTACACGCGCACACGTGAGTGTGTGGAGGCCTGGGCTGCAGGGGGGCTCTGTCGCCCCCATGCCTATGAGCTGCCCACCACCTCCAGGCCACAAACACGTGGACGGCACACAGAGCGACTCTGAGGACCCGCTGGCCCCGGCAGGGGCGGCGCCTGTTGCGGCCGGCGGGGAGCAGGCCCGGCTGCAGCGCCAGATCAGGCGGGAGCCCCAGGAGCTGCTGCATAACCAGCAGGCCTTCGTCATCGAGTTCTTCGACGAGGACACGCCCCGCAAGAAGCGCTCGCAGTCCTTCACGCACGCCCCGGCCCCGGACCCCAAGGCGGACAAGCGCCCCCGCGGCCCGGGC